CACTTGTTTTTTTTTTTTTTTTTTAAAAAGTATCGCCGGGCAGTGGTGGCGCACGCCTTTAATCCCAGCACTTGGGAGGCAGAGGCAGGCAGATTTCTGAGTTTGAGGCCAGCCTGGTCTACAGAGTGAGTTCCAGGACAGCCAGGGCTATACAGAGAAACCCTGTCTTGAAAAACCAAAAAAAAAAAAAAAAAAAGTACCATGGGCTGGAGATGTAGCTCAGTGGTAGAGGAAATACTTAATACATTTGAGACTCTAACTTCAACATCCAACACCAAAAACTAAACCAAACGAAAGAGAAAGATAGATGGTCCATATTAGCTTTGGATTTTCAGATTGGGTTAAAAAATTGGGCTCTTTCTATACACCAAAATGGTGCACATTAAAGTTCTCATGGATGTTTTCAAGACCATTCATAATGCCATACACAGGCAAACATCCGGCTGGTGACAAGCCACGTGCCCAAGTCAACTTCCATTTTCTAGTTGTGATGATGACATTGGCCATACTAATAAACTTGAGAACATTGGAAGATCAATATGAAGTTCACAGGCCGGTTACATGGTGCGTGCAGTGACCAGCTCCAGGGCTGATACAAAACTCAGGAATCTGGGAAAATGGCAAAAATAATCTGCTCCCACCCCAAGTCTGGTTTCACTGCACTGACAACCAGATGACATGAAATACAAACAAATAGTAGCAAACACACAGAAGAGGAAAACTTTGGTTGTTTTCCCAACAAATGTAAGAAACAGACAGTCAGGTATGCTGGCATGTGCTTGGGAAACTACAGTGGATGTACCAGTTTGAGGTCAACCTGGGCTACACTGTGATTTAATGCAAAAGCAATGAATTTAAAGATTAAACATGGAAAGTCAACTTTCCCCTCCTAATTCTGTATACAGAACCTAGAACCTCATAGATGGTAGTTAAGTCCTGCACCACAACATAAACTCAGCTGTTAAGTTCTGTGTCTCAAGTGGCCCAGGCTACCCAGGAAATCCTGATGTTGACCTTGAACTTAGAGACCCCTGCCTCTGCCTCCTGAGTGGTGCAGACTATCAACATCTTTTAGAACAACTCTGTCCATTGAGACACATGGAACATGCCCACTGCTCAGGCAGTATATGTGATTTCTTCATATAGTTTCACCTTTGCTTTTCATTCTTTCTCTTTTCTTCTTCTTCTTCTTCTTTTTTTTTTTTTTTTTTGAGACAAGGTTTCTATGTGTAGCACTGGCTATCTGGAACTCATTCTGTAGATCAGGCTGGCCTCAAACTCTGAGATCCACCTGCCTCTACCTCCGGAGTACGAGATTAAAGACATGAACCATCAAACCCAGTAAGGACTTTTGTAGTCAGGTTACTTCTTTGTAGTTCATGGGTTTTAATGTGAAGAGAAATGTCTTCCTCCAAATATGCTTCCTAATTTGTTACTGTGATAAACAGGAAGGAAAGATGGGTTGTTTTTTTTGTTTTGTTTTGTTTGTTTTGCCTGGCTGTCCTGGAACTAGCTCTGTAGACCAGGCTGGCCTCCAACTCAGAAATCCGCCTGCCTCTGCCTCCCAAGTGCTGGGATTAAAGGTGTGCACCACCACCGCCCGGCGGGTTGTTGTTACCACCGCCCGGCGGGTTGTTGTTTTTGTTGTTGTTTTTAAGCTGCCTTAAATCTTGGCAGGGGGCAATGTTTTTAAAAAAGTAGTTAGAGAGACAAGTATGGGTGCTGGGAACCAAACCTTTTTTTGTGAGCCTTAGCCTTAAACAGTGAAGCTATCTTTTTCAGCCCAAGAAAAAGTAATTGTGTAGCCCCAGCTTACTATCTGTGAAAGGACAGACTTAATCAGTAAAGGCGTCATGGTCCTGAATATTGGCTAAACAAAGCCACATAGGTTTGTTCGCTGCAGGACTAATACTTTTAATACACCTTTTAGTCACCAGTTATTCTCTGAGGTACAGACACATTTTTGTACAAACTTGGCCATGAAAACTCTTTCTCAAGACAGCCCAAAATACACTTTGGCAATCAATGCATTTCAAGACCTTCTAGGGGCCAGATGTGGTGGTGAGTCCTTGTAATCCTAGTACTGGGAGGCTGAGATAGGAGGACTGGTTGAGTTCAAGGTGAGCCTGGGCTAAAAAATGAGTTCTGGATCAGGCTAGGCCGCGAGAGGCTGTCACCAAGACCCTTCTAATGTATGTTAATCCCAGATTTCCACTGCGGTTAAACTGAACCAGAATACAGGAGACAGCTTGGTGTCAAAGCCAATGCTTTAATGAGTCTCCCTGACAAGTGCTACCAGCCTCCACCGTCCACAGCTCTGAGTGGACCGAGAGTTGAGCTAGCTGCCCAGAGGCTGGGATTGGAGTGCAGTAGAGAGATCTATAGGCTTCAAGCTGACCCTTCTTCTGGCATTCCTAGCAAAGCCACAAGAGGTTCCAGGGGTATGGGGGTCCCCATGGGCACAGGGTGGGTGCGTTCATGTTTGCGCAGATCACTAGCACTCAAGAAAGCTTTAGGACATTGGGAACAGGAGTAGGGACGTACAGAGCTGTGGGTGCGGCTATGCTTACGAAGCCCGGCCCTGTCTGAGAAGCTCTTACCACACTGCGTGCAGGGAAAGGGCCGGAGCTCCGGGTGTGAGCGCTCATGCCTGCGTAGCAGTGTCAGTGTGGAGAAAGTTTCTTTGCACTCACGACACACAAACTGTGGGGGCTTCTCATCAGTCTCCTCACCCCCCACCTCTCCTGCATCTCCTAGGGTACTAGGAGCTTCCCCGGCGCCAGCGTCCTGGCACTCCACATGCTCCACTGTCATGCCCACCACTTGCCACTGTGTGGCCACCACACCCCCAGACTCGGGTGGTATCCCTAGCAGCCCTGCCGGAGCGTCCCCTATGCCTGCACCTGCCACCGGGGCAGCTGAGCCCTCACCTACGACGCCTACAGGCAGTGCCAGTCCCAGTACCAACTCCTGCTGGGGGGCAGCGCCTGTAGTCTCGTTGCTTCTATGGGTACGCTCATGCTTCCTGAGGCTGGATAACACCACAAAGGATTTCCCGCAGGCATTACAGTGGAAAGGACGCTCGCCAGAGTGCATGCGGCTGTGTTTCGTGAGGCTAGCTCGCTCAGCAAACGCTCGCCCACACTCCTCACAACGGAACGGCCGCTGTCCTGAGTGCACCAATGCATGCCGCTTGAGGTCCCAGGAAGCCACAAAAGTCTTATCACACTGCAGGCACTTGAAGGGTCGGTCGCCGGTGTGTACTCGCCGATGCATGGCCAGGTCGGCTGGCTGCCGGAAGTCCTTGCCACATTTCTCACAACGGTAAGGCTTTACACCCTCATGTGCCCGCTGGTGGCGGCGGAAGCTGGAGGGATCAGAAAACATGCGGCCACACCGAGGGCACAGGAACGGCTTCTCGCCTGAATGCGTGCGCTCATGGCTTTGGTAGGAGCTGAGCTGTGTGAAGCCCTTACCACAAGCCGGGCAGCGATAGGGTTTCTGGGCTGCATGGATACGCTGGTGGCATGTGAGGGAAGAGGATCGAGAGAAGCTTTTTCCACACTCTGAGCAGAGGAAGGGGCGCTCACCCGTGTGAGACCTGTGGAGTAATGGAGGACTTGGTTAGATCACAACAAACTCACTCATTCAGCCCTATAGCCTGTCTGGGCGCTAATTCCCTAAGAGCCACAGAGCTGTACCCTAGAGTAAGAAACCCATAGACCTTCTTTCCTATGACCTATCCACATATGTCCCTCCCCTACTACCCTTTGGGTGACTGACTCTACTGCCTACTTTCCAGCTGTACTGGAACATAGGCCAACAGAGCCTCACCCACTCTTGGGGTTCCATCTCTAGTCACTTTGCTCTGCCACCCAGCCTGACCGCTGCTCAACCAGGCACTCCCATCTTTAGACAAATGTCCAGCCGCACCTCTTCCCATTGGCATAGTCTATTGAGATGCTAGTTCCCACGTCCGTCTCCCAGCCGAGGCTAGAGATCGCACCTTTCGTGGTTGCGTAAGTCCTTGAGCTCCGCGTAGGCCTTGCCGCAGCGCTCGCAGCTGTAGGGTCGCAGGCCGGCATGCGTGCGCCGATGCTTGCGGAACACTGAAGGATCAGCAAAGCTCTTGCCGCAGTCAGTACAGGCATAGGGCCGCTCACCTGTGTGCCCACGCTGGTGGATCTTTAGTTTAGAGAGTGTACCGTAAGCCTTGGGGCAGTGTGTGCACCGGAAGGGCAGCTCACCAGCATGGGAGGCCAGGTGCACACGCAGGCACACTGGCTGCATGAAGCGGCGGCCACACTCTGGGCACGGGAAGGGCTTCTCACCAGTGTGGCTGCGCCCATGGCTGCGTAGCTCAGGAGCTGTCTTGTAGGCCTTGGGGCACAGTGGGCAAGCATAGGGCCGGGGCTTGGCTACTGAACCAGATACCTTGTCTCCACTGGCTTCCTCGGCCTTGGGCTCTGTATCCGCCTTTGGCTGGACCTCATCCACCTCCTCTGTGCAGTCGGTAGGAGCATGAGTAGCAGCGTGGCGGGCTGCCCTGGGAGCACTTGGAAATGTCTTTGTACAAAACAGGCACTTATAACGGCGGCCAGAGCGCTTGTAGCAGGGGCCTGGGGACTTGGCCTCTGTAGCTTCCACTTCCATGTCCTTGGTGGGTAGGCCTTCTCTGCAAAAGAAGCAAAATTAGGCCAAAACCCTCAGCATTTTTCACCAAAACCCTCTCAAGATCTCAGAGGTGACCCTATCTTTAAGAAAAATACTTTCATTTTACATGTATGACTGTTTACTGGCCCGTGCCCATGCCTGGTGCCCAAGAAGGCTGTTTGTTCAGTCCCCTGGAATTGCAGTTAAGATGGCTGTGAGCTACCATGTGGGTGCTAGGAATCAAAGGTGAATGGTCTGCGAGAACAGCCAGTACTCTTAACCACTGAGCACCTCTCCAGTCCCAAAGGTAACTGGATCGTACCCATACTCTCCTCCTGAGGCTCTTCACCCAAACCACAGGACCTCTACATCCTTCCTGCTAATGATCCCCAGCTTTGACTCTGTGTTCAAGTACCCCCTGTGATCTGCTCACTGGGGGCAGAATTCAGTAAGTGAGGGCCAGTATTGCAAAAGGGCCAGCTCTATCATCTCCTTAACCTCTATTTTCCAAACCCTTGGCATTCCTAGAACACCTAGGTTCCCTTACTCTCACAGTCTTCCTTTCTCAGTTCCACCCACGGCCTTAAGATCTCCAAGTGTTCAGGAAAGACAGACCTAGATCAAGAGAAAGGAGGAGCCAGCGTTTAGACAATGTTTAGGCTATGTTTGGAGGTAATGGGTCTCCAGTATATGTTGGTCAGTTCTTGGAGAAGCAACTGCTCAGAGAATTCTGACCATGCATAGCTATAAGGCATACCACCCTAGAGAGGAATTTTGGTCCATCCTCTGCACTGGAATCCCTTTCAGTCCTGGCTCTAAAACTCTGGTGGTAGCTCACTCACTCTCAAGGCAGCCTGACTAACTGCTGACAGTCTGAGCCTCTTCCTCAGTCACAGCTGATGTATCTGAGCTAGCGAGGCCTCCTGGGATACTAGCTCTTGATGAGTCCCTACTCTCTGGCCAAGAGCCCAGACAACATCCACACAGCTGCTCCTAGGATCACAGTTGGGAAAAAATAGGATTAACAGCTGCATCAGTCTTAACACCCGCTCATCCTCCCAGAGGGATGAAGGGAAGAGGATTAGGGTAGATCCTCTTAAGAGAAGCTTAGATGTGGTGCTGGGGCAGGGGAGAGTGGGCGAGGAGAGCCAGGTATGCCCGGAAGGTGGCAGCCCAAAGTTCTGTGTTCAGACTTGTACATCATCTACTAGGATCTGCTTATAGACCTGTGTCCTCATCTGTACATCCCAGGAGCTGGGGTGTAGAAGGAAGATGGAACCCATCTAAGAGGACGGTGGGGGCATTGGGGCCTATTCCAGAAAAGGTAATACAGAAGTAGCTTACCTGGTTGACCAATGGAGCCCCTGAAAGGCTCCACAGAGTCAGCACCATACCAGGAAGCATTTGGGGCAGGGGGAGTGAAATTTGAACCCAGAACCTGCTACAGGCCAGATAAGTGCTCTACCACTGAGTCACATCTTTAGCTTCCTAAATTTCCCCAAAAGAAAAAACACAAAACAAAAGCCAGGCTAGGGAGTGTAGCCCAGCAACAAAGGTCTTCACCAGCATGGATGAGGCTCTGCGTGCTCCATGCCTAGAAGAGCAGCTCACATCCACTAAGTGCTTGCCAAATTCCACAGCATCCTAACTTTGTTACATATATCAACACGCCCGTACATCAACACCACAAGAACGCAAGGTTCCAAGAAGCAGAGTTCTGTGCAAACACATATATTCTGAAGGCAAACCATCCAGCTTCGAATCTAGCCTCCACCACTCCCCAGCTGATGTGACTTTTTGTTCAACTCACTGTGTATCTTAGAACCTCAGTTTTCTCACCTGCAAAGTTGAAGTAACAATAGTTTTACCACATGGGATGGCGGTGTGAGGACTGAATGGAATCAGACTGCTTCTCTCAACTACAGTCTTATCAGAGCTCATCAGCTGGGTGTGGCACCTTGCATAATTTCCATACAGCCTGAAATAGGAAGCCCTGACCCCATTTTATAAATGAGAATGAGTTAGTTGAGTTCTGAGAGTAAAGAGACTTGTCAAGTCATACAGCTAGAAACTTAACATGGCTGAGACTTGACTCTTGTGTCTAAAGTTTTTAAGCCCTTGCTCAGAAGTCTAGGACCAGACTGGAGAGATGGCTCCAGAGTTAAGAGTTCAATTCCCGGCCGGGCGGTGGTGGCGCACGCCTGTAATCCCAGCACTTGGGAGGCAGAGGCAGGCGGATTTCTGAGTTCAAGGCCAGCCTGGTCTACAGAGTGAGTTCCAGGACAGCCAGGGCTACACAGAGAAACCCTGTCTCGAAAAACCAAAAGAAAAAAAAAAAAAAAAAAAAAGAGTTCAATTCCCAGCAACCACATGGTGGCTCACAACTATCTATAATGGGATCTGATGTCCTCTTCTGGAGTGTCTGAAGACAGCTACAGTGTACTCTAGGAAGCACACGCTCAATAAATACCTGTCAGTCTCAGGCAGCAGCATAATCATTGGTTCAAAGCCAGCCTGGACTACATAGTAAGGTCCTAACTTAAATAACAAAAATAAGTGGTTAGAGAGACGGCTCTGTAGGTAAGAGCCTTGCTGGTCTTCCATAGGACCTTAGTCCAGTTCCCAGAACCCACAGAGTGGCTCACAACCACCTGTAACTTCACCACATAACTCTCTTCTGACTCCTTGGGCATCTGTAGATGTGTCAAAACACAAATGAAAATTTAAAAAAAAAATTTCTTTTTTAAAAAGCAAACAAAAAGAACCATCATCTAATGAAGTTGATATAGGACATTGCAATCTGTATTTTTACTTCAACATGAAGAATTGCATTAAAGGGCCACAGCATTGGGAAGCTGAGAACCACTGGTCTGGAGGCTATGAACTCAGTTCCCTATACCCATGTTAAGACAGCTCACAGTGGCCAGGCTCTAGTGGATCAGACACCTTCCAACCCCAGTCCTTTCTTCTCCTTCTCCTTCTCCTTTTCCTTCTTCTTCTCCTTCTTCTTCTTCTTTTCGGATTTTCAAGACAGGGTTCCTCTGTAGCTCTGGCTGTCCTGAAACTCAGAGGTCCGCCTGCCTTAGCCTCCCCAGTGATAGGACTATAGGTGTATGGCACCAGGCATGTTTATTTGTGTGTGTGTAGGTATGCAGAGGACAACTGGGAGTCAGGTCTTGTTTTTCAACTTGTTGAGGTGGGTGTCCACAGTCTCCCTTACTGTTACTGTTGCACACGGCTTACTCTAGACTAGCTTGTTGACAAGCTCCTGATCATTCTCCTGTCTCTGTACTCTATCTTCCTATAGCAGTGCGGGATTACAGATGGGTGCCACCAAATCTAGCTTTTTGCCTGGGTTTGGGGGTTTGAACCCAGGTTGTCAGGTTTGTGTGGCAAGTTTTAACTGGCCAAATGATCTCTGCAACCCTGAAATTGGTACTTTAAACAAACTCTGACCATTCCAACCAACACTTAAGAACCAGATATGTGAGCCAGGATATAAAAGGAGAGAGTACTTGCCTGACAGTGTGAGGCACTGGGCTCTACTCTCAGTACCACAGAGAAAGAAACAAAGAAACAAAGAAAGAGAGAAGAGGAGAGGAACACACACACACATCTCCTCAGTCTTCAAGTACTTCTAGGAGGGAAACATTTTTACTACAACTCTATTTTAGAATGTGTTTTTACTACAACTCTATTTAAAAATCCTCACAAGGCAAAAGTGTACACAGCTAATTAAGATGCCCACAGTCAAAACTCAAATCTTCAAACCCAGAGGTTGGACTCTTAAGATCACTTTTTGTTCACTTAAAACCTCCAGCAAAATCAAGACTCTTCCCAGGACAGAGACCAGGACTTTTCTTTGAATAGCACATCTCTAACCTATCTCCCTCTCGCTTAGCTCTGGAAATTCCTTCCGCCCATCACCAGGCTCCATGCACCCCCCCCCCAAGGCCTCCAGTCTTCATTCTAGACTTCAGTTCCTTCCAACCTCAGGTCACTCATACTAACAGCTCTATTGTCAGAACTGCTACCCCTCAGTCTCCTGAGGATCTTTGTATGTCTATGTATTAACTCTTTGGTTACTTCGGGTCTTATGCCCACACACTTCCTCTATTAAGGCTGTCTTTTTTCTTTACAAACTGTATTTCCTCTCTTTGTGTATGTGTATGCACACTCTCTAGGGGGTGTGGAGGGCAGAGGACAGCTTGCAGGAGTCAAGTCTCTCCTGTTACTACATGGCTCTAGGAGGCTAAATTCAGGTCATCAAGCTTGCCCATCTCCCTCCCTCCAAGAAGGCTTTCCTGGGTGCTAGAGAGATGGCACAGCAGTCAAGAGCAATTCTCTTGTTCCAGAGGATACAGATTTGGTTCCTGTTACCCACATGGTGGCTCACAAACACCTACAACTCCAGTTACAGGCATCAGGCATGCACTCGGCGCACATACATACATGTAAGCATAGTGCTCATACACATAAAAAATAGTAAAGGTTTTCTAGTCTATCTTTTTGGGGGGTGGAGTGTGCAGGATCTTACTATGTGGCTCCGGCTGGCCCTGACTCTTCCTGCCTTGGCCTCTTCAGTGCTGGGATTACAGGTGTGACTCCAGTATTTCGGTTCTATTCCTTTCTTTGTGGCACTGCTTGGAAGTGTTAGCTTTGAGACAAAGTTTCACTATATAACCTTAGCTGGCCTGGAACTCGCAGAGATCGGCCTGTCTCCTGAGTGCTAGCATTTTACCACACCTCATAGACTCCTTTAGATAATGATATGTTTATCCTAACTACATTTTAACTTCAAAAAACTTTTTTACAGTGCCATGTGGATCAAATCCTACGTTCAGGCTTACTGCTATGGGCCAGAGATACCATTTGTATTTTATGCACACTGAACTGACTTAGGAGTCTGTTACAGCTGAACGTTCGTCTTCTTCTAAAATTCTTATGCTGAAGCTCTAACCTCCCCCATGACTGTGTTTGGAAACAGGGTCTTTTCAGAAGTAATTAAGGTTAATAAAGCCATAAGGGCAGAGCTTCATGTTGTAGGGTTAGGGTAGTGTTTTGGGGGCTAGCAAGCTGCCCCAGGGGGAAAGGTGTTTTCTGTCAAGCCTGACAACCTGAGTTGTATCCTCAGGACCCACATGGTGAAAAGACAGAACCAATGCCAAGAAATTCTTCTTTGACCTCCACATATATGCTACAAGAACACACAAGATAAAATAAAATACTAAGCATGTCCTTAAAATAAGATATAACAGAAAAGTCAGGCAATTACCACAGACTTAGCTGGTATTTGAAGCCAAATAGTCAGATATGGAAATTCCTGCCATCTGTCCCCTTGACTATTTATTGCATTACTAGCACTAGTATATTTTATTATTTGGTTCTTAATTTTTCACCTCCAGGACTAGGGTCCAGGGAACTCTGTTCTATGCACTTGTTATTCCAAAACTGTTTGGTGGACCAAACACAAACTTCTGGTGGAATTCACACCCAGGTCTATAGCCTCTGCCTCTTCCACGGTAGAAGTTTGTGAGAGTCAGTCACCAACTATGTATTAACTGAAATGCTCCATCTTTACAAGGTTGCAGGGTTCAAGTATGACACTAGTACTCCAATTTGCTGTTGTGACAAAACCCAATGAGGGGAATGACATTTTACTTTCTCACAAGCTAATGAGACTCAGTGCCTCCAAAGCTGGGGGTGGGGGCGGGCGGAGCAGATCAGGTGTGGTTAAAATAATAAAAGAAGCATCTACACATGAGCCTCAAATAAGTCAACATATAAGCCCCACAAACCTTGAGCCTTTTGGTGAATTGATGGAACTGTGTTGCGGTAAATGTTTAATGATATCCTAGGCTAACAACCAGTCAGCTCACAACATGATCCCATTTTTTCCCACCCTCAGTTTCTGTGGCAGTATCCCCATTGGTCAGCAACCTATGCTCCATCAACAATTCACAAACTTTACCACCTCCATATGCAATTCCCTTTGCCCAGGAGCCAGCCCTCGTTTTCCTTCTCCCACGGGAGGATACTTGCATGCTTCCAATACTCCATTCCCCATAAGAATATTTAACAAGCAGTAAAAGATGAGGTGCATCGCGCTCGGGGCCTCGACTTCAGTGGAATAGGGTCCCTGAAGCATATGGGAGTTTGCAGGGCAGTAGGGCCTACCAGACTCTCTGAGGAGGGACAAGACCTGCAGAAACCCAGCGCTCCTCGCTCTCTGCAACCGTGTTTGTGCGGGTGTCCTCGCCAGACAGGCAGCCCCCGCAGAGCGGGGCAGTATGCTGACTCATTTGGAACTAAACCCTAAGATAACGTGGCTTCGGCGAGCGGAACAGGACAGAATGAATGAAGAAGGAAGGGATGAAGAAATGAATGGACGGAGGATCCAGAGCAGGACAAAGGCCTGCAAAATGGCGTTCTTTAGGACCGCGGGAGGGGCAGACAGAACCTCGGACTGGGAGGGGGCGCGCAGCCGCGAAGGGCTTGGCTGGGAGGCCCTCGCCGCTCAAACAAAAGCCCGGAACATGGCGGACTCTAGGACCCCCAGTCCGCGCCGAGCAAGACCGGCAGTCGCGTCCGCTGAGCCTAGGCATCCACAGCGCTGACCGGCGGGCACCGGGCGGGTTCTAGGACCTGCTGGGCCCGCAGCCCGCCCGAGGCCGCTCACGGCTCGCCCCGCCCGTGATGCTCGCGCCTGGTCAACTTCGTCCGATCGGCAGCAGACGGGAAACTGGGGGCACCCCAAACCGCGTCGGTGCCCACTGCCTGAGCCCCTTGCGACTTCCCGCAGACGTGTCCTACCTGGTTCGATTTTCGCAGGCTCCGCAGCTTCGGCAGTAGCGTCTAGCGCCGACAGAGCTCCGGACACTCGGAGAGAGGCTGGCGCTAGGACCCAGCGGGGGGGGAGGGTAGAGGCGGGGCCGGCGATCAGACAGCGGAAGTGGAAGACCGCCTTCCTTGCTCAGGAGGAAGGAAAAACTTACGGAAGCAGCCCCGATTCTACTGAAGCAGAGAAGTATCTTGCGAAGGGTTTCTGGGTGCTAAGGGGATGGGGCGCCAGGCCGATTGACGGTGTACACCCGCCAAGTCGCCGGAAGCGTCTGCAAGAGCTAGGAGGTGGGAAGATATGGAGAGGGCATTCAGGCTTTGTGGTGCCTGAATCCGTTTATATTCCACATTTCCTCTACCAGCGAGGAGTGAACTTAGTGAGGATCCCTCCACGCCTGTCTTGGGAAGAGTCTTTTATGGAACTTCGTGAAAAGTGTCACCAAAGTACCGTAGCCAGGGCTGCAGAATATTTACTATTACTGTGCTGACTGAATAAGCACTTGAACGAGTTTAGCAGCTTTGGACGGAAGTGTGGCTTAAATTCACCAGAACGCCGCGCTGACCTGCGTGGGCGGAGTTAGAGTTGCGCCCACAGCCGAGTGTAATAGCTCAAGCCGCCTGTGAGCTCCGAAATTCTGCAGGTTGAGGCAGGAGGATTGCTCCGAGCTCGAGGCCAGCCTGGGCGACATAGTTAGACTTAATCTCAAAACAAAAAAACAAACAAGATTTGGGCCCACCCGGAACGTAGCGTCGGAAGCGTGTCCGTGTGGAAACACTGCTCGGAGGAGGGACAGGAAGTGTTCCTAGGCGGAAGTTTCAGGGGGGAAGCATTAGCACCTAGGACACTTCCTGGTTCCTGGTAACAATAGGAAGTGTCCGCGGAACTGGGCTAGACTCTTGGCTCATACCAGCTGTGTCCCGGTCCCCCTACCGCCTCCTTTCTCCCGCTTCCTTCCCTCATCTACCACCCCCGGGAACCCTGGCTGAGTGTGCTTGTGTATGAGCTCGAGAACCCTCGCACCAGCAACCACTTAGGGCTCGCGGCTGCAGTTAGGGTAAGGGTCCCAGTGCGCAGGCGCGCTCCCGTTCACGACCTCCAACGGACGCGCCGGCGGCGGGAACCAGAAGGCACTCCTGGTGCGAGGTAGGGATCTAGAGAAAAAATTGGCAGAAAAAACTAGTGACTCTAGAGAAATATGATGGTGGTTGAGTAGGAAAAGGGGACTCGAGTGAAGGAGTTTTGAGAAGTGAGAATTCCAGGAACAGGCTCAGCTTGTGAGATTAGAAATAGTTGTGTTAGGGTCCCAGGAGACTAAGGTCAGCCTCGAAGAAAGGCAAGATGATGAGGCAGAAATGAGTAGCTGCTACTGGGTAAGCGAGGGTTTTGGAATGAAAGTTGCCTCTTGAAGAAGTGAGTTTATGTAAAAAACGAGGTAGCAGTGTTGGATTTAGTGGCGTAAATATACTTAGATTGCTTATCGCGGTGTCACATGCCTCTAATCCCCGCACTTGGGAAGCTAGTGCTACATAGTGAGACCCTGTCCGAATTGCCTCCCCCACCCCCTAATACACTTGTATAACTGCTGTGCTTGGCACATGGTACTGTCCAGCGTGAGTTGCTATCATGATTTAGAGAGGAAGTAGAAGAGAAAATGAAAAGTGTTGGAGACAGCAAGGTAAGGTAGGCAGGGGATAGAAAAGGCAGAGGATAAAATGAAATATCAACCTGAAATGGGATAGGATTAAATATATTTAAAGGAAGTAACACAGACGCCTAACAGGAAAACAGTGTGATGCTGAGAAGCCTGAAGCAAGGTTCATCCCTGAAAGGGCCTCTACCTTCTAAGGAGCTTAGGTGACCACTGAAGAAAGCAGCCACTCTGTCAGTGTTCTCAGAGCACTGGGTTTAACTGACGGTTGAAGAAAGAAGGGTTGCACTTGTGTTACTGTAAGGCCTGGCCAACTGTCGTGGCTCACACTTTCAGTCTCAACTCTCAAGAGTCTGAGGTAGGAAAATGCATGAGTTTACAGCCAGGTTGGGCTACTCAGGGAATTCCAGAGAAGCTTGGACTTCACAGTGAGCCTAGACCATATCTCAAAAACAAAACAACAGCAAAGTCAGAAATAGTTCTGGTTCGTTGTTTAAAAAAAAACCTCATGGATTTTTGTTAGGTTGTTCCAGAATGATAGAGTGCAGAGCCTGAAGAACAGTAAGATCAGTTACATATCATCAGAAAACAAAATCAGGTCTGTCTAGAGTCTAGACTCTAGATTATAGTTTTCCTTATTTCTCTCTGGCTCTAGAGATGACTTAAGCCTAGGGGAACTTTTCTAGAAGTTTGTGCATGGTGAAGCTTTCTGAAGGCACCTCCAGACCTCTAGAGACCAGGTTCCTTGGCATGGATGGTTGGGGAACCTCTTTGTGACATGCTCGTCTAGCCAAGAGACAAAACTGACTCAGTCCTTCCTTTTGACTACTGCTCCCTCTTTCTAGGCCTTGGCCCTTCTGCAGAGAGAATGCTGCTGCCACCTGTCTGTCCCTCCTGAACCTCCAGGGTTTTCTACCACTTTGCCCCATGGAGGACATGCCCCTCTCGTTCAGTTGCTCTGACTGTCAGCGCCACTTTCCTAACCTCCCAGAACTGTCACGGCATCGGGAACTGCTCCATTCAGCTGCTAACCAGGACGAGGAGGAAGCTGATGGCATCCCTCACTCCTATTGCAGTCAACCAGGGAGCTTGGCCAACCACCAGCGGAACCACGAGACTGTTCTTTTCCCCTGTACCACCTGTGGCAAGGATTTTTCTAATCCCTTGGCCCTCCAGACCCATATGACGACTCATGCTCTTGAGAGCCACCAAAGGCACGGACCTCCACATGCCAAGGAAACCACTCCACACCTTCAGAGAGAGACCATGTTCACTGACTCCTGGGGTCAGAGGCTCAGTTCTGGGGAAGGCTGGGAAAATCAGACAAAGCATGTACAAGAGACACGTGAATGGGAATCTGGAGCTGATCCCAGGGCAGCTTCAGAGACTTGGGAAGATTCACATACCAAACAAAGAGAAGCCTTAGAAATTCAGTCAGATTCTAAAGGAAGTACAGAGGACTGGGTACCCACCACCAATTCTGATGGAGCACCACCACTCCCCACTCCAGCGAGCAATCTCCTTAGCAATTTAGAACAGTATTTGGCTGAATCAGTAGTGAACTTCACAGAGGCACAGGACTCTACTGAGCTTCTTCCTGCTGAGGTGGAGCGAAGATACAAGTGTGATCAGTGTGGAAAGACCTATAAGCATGCTGGGAGCCTCACTAACCACCGCCAGAGCCACACACTGGGTATCTACCCTTGTTCCATCTGTTTCAAGGAGTTCTCTAACCTCATGGCCCTGAAGAACCACTCAAGACTCCATGCCCAGTATCGGCCTTACCACTGCCCTCACTGCCCCCGTGCCTTTCGGCTTCCTCGGGATCTGCTGGAACATCAGCAGTCCCATGAAGGGATAAAGCAGGAACAACCATGGGAAGACAAAGAGATGCCTACCACAAATGGACATGCAGATGAAAGGAGCTGGGGTCAGCTGTCTAGACCAGGGGTGTTGAATGGTTCCGGGGAGCTCAGCTCTTCTGGGCAGCTAGACGATGGTAACTCAGAGGAGTATCGGCCTTTCTGTTGTGGGGACTGTGGTCGTACTTACCGTCATGCGGGAAGTCTCATCAACCATCGGAAGAGCCACCAAACCGGTATCTACCCCTGTGCCATTTGTTCCAAGCAGCTATTCAATGCAGCTGCTCTGAAAAACCATATTCGTGCTCATCATAGACCCCGGCAAGGAGCTGGGGAAGACGGTCAGTCATCAGTGTCCTCCGCTGCTCTTATATCAGCTGAGAATACTCCAAAAGAGGAAGAAGTACCCACTGCCAGCCTGGACCATCGTCCCTATAAGTGTAATGAGTGTGGTCGGGCTTACCGCCACAGGGGGAGCCTGGTGAACCACCGCCACAGCCACCGGACAGGAGAGTACCAGTGTTCACTCTGTCCTCGAAAATACCCCAACCTTATGGCACTGCGTAACCATGTGCGGGTACATTGCAAGGCTACACGCCGAAGTACAGTTCCAGGCACTGAAGGTTCACCTAGCCCTGTCAAGAAAGAACAACCTGATCCAGTGGGAATAGAAGCAGCATTCCATGCAGATGAGGAACATGTATGCAAACGTGAAGAAGAGGCCACCAGTAATCCCCCAACAGCAGATAAGACAGTGCCACAGGTGTGTAGCATTTGTGGGATGATGTTTGAAGATCTCAAAAGTCTTGAACACCATGGCATGACTCACAGGGAAGGAGAAAAAAGCAGGACAGACACTACGTTGTCACCAACTAGAACATTTGCTTGCCAGGACTGTGGCAAGAGCTATCGCCACTCAGGCAGCCTTATCAACCACAGGCAGACCCACCAGACAGGCGACTTCAGTTGTGGGGCCTGTGCCAAGCATTTCCATACCATGGCTGCTATGAAAAGCCATTTACGACGTCATAGTCGGCAGTGGAGCAGAAGGCATCAGAAACAAGATAGTAATACAGGTGAAGAAGAAGCCAAACTCCCACCTGTGAGTACCTGGACCCTGAAGTTAGAAAGCGATGAGGGCCCGGATTCTTCCCAAGACCCTTGTGAGACTGAAGACAACCTGGAAAGGGATGGGGACTGTTTGCAGGCTGTATCTAAAGGCAACAAATGTGTGCTTAAAAGGGAGGAAGCCTGTTTTCTGGGTGATAAAGAGGGCACAGGCACTGAGGAAGGACTAGAAAAGAAAGAGGCCTGTTTCCTTGACGACTTAGACATTCCAGGTGATGGGGAGAGCAGTGAAACTGGCTTCTGTGGTAGCCTTCCTGGGGTGGACAGTGACCAGAAGAGCAGCATTTGCCAGTCTGACTCCTCCTCCCACCCTGCTGACACTGACACTGTCTGGAAGGCTGAAGCCACTCACACATGTTCTGACTGTGGGGATTCTTTTCCCC